CTCGGGCCGGGGCCTGGGCGGGGCCCGCCGCAGCGGCTTCCTTCAGCCCTGAGGGAGGGAGAGCGGCGCCTCTCGGGGCGCCCGGCGCCCTCGGGCGGGACCGTGCCTCCGGCGGCCTTTTCCCCATGCGGCGGTCTGGGGGGGGGGTGTTACACCTCGTTCCCTTTGCCTTTTTTTTGTTGTTGTTTCGTTTTGTTTTCGTCATGGCGGCCAGCCCGGTGGCTGGTCTCGCTACCGCTCTGTGGGAGAGGGGTCGAGGCTGCGGCCTGGCCCCCCCGAGAGCCACTGGAAGGGTCCCCAGGCTGCCTCGTCTCTGGTGAGGGGGCTGGCGCAGCGGGGAGCGAGTGCCCCTGCGGGCCCCGCCACGCAGAGCGCCCCTGCCCCCGGGCACCTCCGGCTTGGCCTCTCAGGCCTGGGCTCCCAGGGGAGCACGGCTGCCACCCGTGGGGCAAGGGAGTTCGGCAGGGTGCCTCGCTCGACTGTTCCCCTCTTCCGCCTCAGCGTTTTCAGAAGAGACGGGTTTCGGTGGTCGAATATGCCTGTGAATAATTTCTGGTCCTTCAGCTGCGCTTGCTGTGAAACAATACTCCAATGTTTGCGCTCTCTCCTGTAGTGTAGCGCCATCCCAACAGAAGTGAATAGAAACGTGGATAAGTAACAGTGAAATACAGTGTTTAAAGTCCAGATTGCGAGCATTGCCGGAGGAAGGAAATACAACGAGCTGTCACTCTTGCCCTCATGAGCTGGCCACTGCCCAGGGATCTCCTGACTAGTTGTGTCAAAGTTCTCAGATACTACTCCTGCCTTTTGTATAAGCGTGATATGTTACTAGTATACTTCATCTGACTCTGGGAGCAGAAAGATTGTGAGAAATCTGCCGTCTTTTCCGGTGCATTGAAGTTCACTTATACCGCATCTCCTAGAAGCTGGGGGTTTTTTTGCTGCATCTGCAATACTGCAGTATTTATGCTTTTAACAGATTACGATTTCTATGTTAAATGTTGCCAAATTCGATGGATAATGTGTGTATGTCCTTGTTAACAATGCGAGTAAAGTATTGCTTTGTTCTTATATGGCATTATTCGTCCATAGATGTTAAAGTATATAAAAAAAGGAATTGGAATCATTGTTTCTGTTTTATATTTTACTCTGTTACTATTTCACTCTGGAGGATCTGATCTTTCCCTAGAAGACTCTGTGCCTGTTTAAGTGAGTACATACTGCAACTCACTGGTCCTTTAGAAATGATACTGTAATATCTGTGTATTTCTACTGAAAGAGCCTACTGAGGTTTGCAATCTCAGTGCAGGATCCTAGCGGAGTCAGTGTGGTTTGCCAAAGAACTGCCTGGCAAAGGTGCAGGGTTCACCGTGTTTATTCTGAAGTAAAAACAAGTGATGCCTTGTCTCATTGCCAGTTTGCACAGATGTCTCAATTTTGAACACTTTTTTTTTTTTTTTTTTTTTTTTTTTCTCCAGGGAAGCCTAGGCAAAGCAAATAGAAGCTTGGTGAGCTCTTGTTACTGAGTCAGTCTGACCTATACCATCGTCTTCAAAACCCCTGTCTGTCTCCTTAGGTCTCAGAATAGCCCCAAATGCATACATTTGTACTATAAGGAACTTCATCTGGTCCCTCTGTACCTGCCTGCTACTATCTTGGCAAGGCCAAATCCACTTCAGATCCTTTATGTGGTCCCCCAAGGGCGTTGGTATGGTAAGTGTGCTTAGCGTGTGCCTGGCAAACAAGGAGTGGATTTTCTAAAACCAGTGGTGGTCGCTGTGTGCAAAGCCACATTTGTGAGGAGTTCCCTTTCCTTATTGTTATATGTATGGGTAGTTAGTATTTTATTAGAGTCAGCTAATACCTCCTAGTTGCTGTGTTTGCTAAGAATGAGGGCAGGAGCTTCAGAGCCTTCCTCTGCTGGGGATGTTCAGGCATACATATCTCAGGAAAGTGCTGCGACCAGTGGGTTATAAAGAAACATGGGGATCTAATTCTCCATCTGCAACTATGCTAGTTTGCCAAGGAGCTTGACAGGGAATATTTTTTGGGTCTGGTAATCATGGCCCTTTCCTGGGAGGAGAAAGGTCTGGGTTGTAGTCTATGATCTGAGAGCTGTTTCCAATGTCTGAACCACCCTTGGAGTAGGCAGTGGTCCCCAGACTCTTTTCTCTTAGTAAAGGGCCTTCATGGATAGACTACACTGTCACACCCCCTGCCTGGGATGTGGATCTTGAATTTTGTCTTTCAGAACAGCACAACTTCCTCAGAAAGGGTGATGAGGGCTGCTTTTTTTTCCCCTATAGCCTACATTCTGGTGGTGAGAGCACTGCTGGCAGGGGAAAAATGCAGGGCTCAAAGTCACTGCAATGAAAAGGGAGTTTGGGTCTCCCCTCTCATTACAGAGTAAATTCTGAATTACTAGGTAGGGTTTGCTTTGTTTTTCTGTTCAGGCAGACCCATTGTTTACCAGTATGTAGAGTTTTTTTATAACACTGCACAGAGGCAATAAAGCTTATGTAAGGCTTCAGGGCATACCATTAAACCTCCTGAAGCACGCTGCTTGGGAAACACAGCCCTGGGCTGCTACAAAGCAGATGCAGCCAGTCCACTGCTGGCCACATTTTAAAATAAAAGTGTGAGTTCCGCTCCATTTTTCTGACAGCTCAGTGTAGGCTGTGAATCCTTTTGCAGTGCAGGGTCAGTAACTTAAATAACATGAGGAATGGGATTTCAGGTGTATGTTTTTCTTTGCCATTGTCAGTTAACTAGATTAGACGGATCCCTCTTGCAGTGTATTCGCTAGCCTGGACCTCACTCCAAGACAGCCTTTCCTTCCCACTGTTGGGGGAGTTTGTGTATCTATCTAACTTGGGGGTATAAATTCCTTTCTGGGAGGCAATGCCTGAAAATCAGGTGAGTAAAATGAAGTTTTGCAATGCTCATTTCTTGTGTGAATGGAAAATTGATAATCCTTCCTTCAAATTAGCAAAACATAATGTATAAAAATTGAAGCTTGACACATTCAGATTCAAGACAGGTTTTTTTTTTTTCTAATAGTGAAGAAAATAAGCACTGAAACAACTCAGAGATGGTCCACCTCTGGAAAATTTTTCTAAAAGATATTTTCTAGTGGAAAAAAAAATTAATGCAAATCCTATGGATGTCAAAAGAGATGTTCATAGTAGTCCAGTTTGGCTTTGTAATTTATGAATGTAATATGTATATTATGCAAAATTTTAACTAAAATACCCCCCTTAACTGGTTGCTGAAAGGTATCTTAGCAGGGCATCCATTCAGTTAAACAACAGCATCAATGAAGGATTGCCACTCTCCAAACTACGATTCATGCATTGCAGACTGGGTCAGGAGTCTCCCTTTAGGGTTCACCTCATTGTTCATTATTTTTTCAGGTTAAGTTCCTATGTGTGTTGTTTTCGAATGAAAATTGAGAGCGCTGCTGGTAGGACTGATCAGTCACTGTTCCATTCATCCAGGATTTTACATTTTAAAGACTGTCATTTGCATAATAATTTAACTGTAAGTAAGCTATACTTCCGAGAGCACTGCTCACTTACACATTCTGGTGAGAGATTATCTTTTCAGGCCCTGATATTGAACAGCCTGAACTGTAATTCATGGAACCATCCATGTCCAAGGAATGTGATTATCAGAATTCAGATGCACCTGCTTGAGGAGAACAGGCACTTTTAGAGTAATTTGTAAATTTTAGGCTACAGATACACATAGGACAGAGTTTATAACCTAGTCAATAACCTGGTCTTAGGGGATGGACTCCAAAAAGTATATAAAATCGAAAGATAGTCAAGTTTTGACAATACATTTCCTTAGGTACCTAAAGGTACATCTTCTGCCTCAGTCTAATCCAGCCTGAGCAGTTCAGTTGCCTGCCTCATATCTAAACTGGTCTGATCCTGAAAATGAGCAATCCCTTTGTGATATGCTCTCATAGACCTGACCTTTAATGTGTGCTCAGGCAAAGACTAACACCAGCAGGATTTAGCGGCATGCAGTCCAAAGATTTAAGA